TTCCCCAACCAGCATGGCTGGCTGGGGAATTCTGGGAGTTGAAGTCCACCCATCTTAAAGTTGCAGAGGATGAGGAACCCTGCTCTAATTGATTCAGGCGTTAGTACAAAGGAGAAGGAATACACACCTGAAAGGAATTTCCTGAGACAAACAAAGAACTAAGGGAACCACTTTAAAAAAACTGACAACCAGGAGGCGCAGGAAGCCCCTTCTAGAATTCAGGGTACCAGTTTTGAAATCAACTGATCGGACATTAGCATTATTTCACAATGTTTTCCCTCAACTGACATCCATTGCTCGTATTCTCCGATGAATGGGGGAGGAAAGAGCAGGGCTACCTAATGACAGGGCTCATGGCGATATGAAAAGCACAGCCCTAGGATATCTTTGTCAATCTGCTAGGAGAGCCGCCTTTGCCCTGGTAGTTCACAGGCTGAATAGTAGTGGGGAGATGACTGATCTCCTGTAAAGACTTGTAGGAAATTAGCAGAGAGAGGCATAGGGCCTTAGAGCTGCAGGGTGCTCAACTGGATTTAACTCAGCATCTGCCAGCTGCAGAAAGCCCTTGGTGTGCCTTCATCCCTGTATTGGCCAGGAACTGGATTTCAACTGTATTTGCTTTCACTTTTTCATCTGAATTGGAGACTTGTAGTTCAATACAAATGATGGTTAGATTACAAAAGTTGGTGTCAGAACCTATGATTAAAAGTTGGGTTATATTAGAAATGATCAGGGCATGTGCTCAACCAGGATCCTCAGTTCAGACAAAAGAGTAAGTTATGGCTTAACAAAAGCAGCAATAAACAGTCTCCCTTTTGAATGAGCATGTGTGAGCAAGAGGCATGTTATAGTTTTAGCTTATGTTGCTCAGCAATAGTTATACTTATGTTGTTTTTGCTTATGTTGCTCGGCAACCCAAGGGGAACATCTGCATTTTAACTGAATAAAGAACATAATTTAACTGAATAAATAATAATAAAAATAATAAAGAACATAATTTAAAAAATAAAGATATTAATAAATTGATGCAGAGTTTGGTCCCTCAAAACATTAAACTATGTGACTACAAACAGCTACACTATTTCTATAGAAAATTACTTGCCTCAGAAATATTTTTATCCATCTCTTTTCTTCTTTCTTCTAATTTCCTCTCAATGCCAACAATCCCTGCAGCTCTTATTCTCCCACTCTGAATAACAAAACATATCAGATAAACAAATTATGAAGGAAAAGCTTAAGCTCCCTCACCACCATTAAAAGCAAGTAAAGATCCAACATTGACGGCTGCATTTAGATGCAGTGCTACACAGTGACTGCCTTTATGCGTCCAACTAAAACCATGGTTTGAACAAGTTAGGAAAGAAACCACAATATTTGCTGACAAGCAAGAAAATAAAGTTGACAATTTCTTAGTCTGTTTTGCCTCCTTTCTGGCTTCTTTTGCTTTGTGTCTGTGAATTGGGTGAGGTGAAGAAAGATTCCAGCAATAGGAAAGGGAAATGTTCACATCAGTTATACTAGAGAAAATAAACCAACAAACCAAGTTTGACACATAGTGATTTATTATTTACAAATAATGATTTTATTTATTTCATTATTTATTACCCCACAGCAAACATGGTTTATTCTCATATTCTTAATCACACAGCGTACCAAACCAAAAACAAGTAGCCATATTATGACTTTGAGCAATATATGAACACAGCGTATGTGCCCAGGGCATGGACTTGTCACCTCCCATTCATCATCCAATGCAGATTAGATGCCTTCCCTTTAGTTTTCAACTCATGTCAAAACATCAAAGGGTTAATTGGAATTGTATATTATTGACACAAACCCACTTCATAAACCATAGTTTAAAGTTCAGGAAATCATTGTTAAGAGCAAGCACAGATTGCTGGGTCCAGACATAAAGCTAAATTCCAGGTAATTAAAAAGGGAAGCAACATTTCCCAGTCTCCTCTTTGTGGCTGTGCTAGAGAAGGAGAGAGGAACTGATGGGATTAAGGTTCATGTAGGTACACGGGAAACCTTGATTGAACAGACCACTTGGGGAAAATGGGTGTCCATCATTCCTGATCGTTAAATTAAAATGGTTATCTGCGTAACATGATTATGCAAATCTGTACAATGTCAGAAACACAGTGGAAATTTTGTCTGTTGCATCCAAAATCTACTAAACTAAAGTTTCACTGTGATCATAACTCATTGTCCATATAAAGGCAGAGTATCACTGATTTCCAAAAATCGTTTTCAGCACACCAAGTTATATTGGGATTCTACATTATTATTTTCTCCCTCTTCCCTAATAATAGAAGTTATCAACTATGCAATATGTACCTCTTTATAACAAATACCTAGTTATATCTTTTACATTATTTTGAAAGAGGTTCACTTGCAATTATATTGTATTTAGTCCACTAAAGTTTCTTGATAACACATCACGTATTATGCCCCAGGAAGCCTCTTCCTCCTTGATGTCTTATCTGCCATATCTTAAATATCAATCTTACTTAGAAATAAAACATCCAAATGTCAGAAACTGCATACGTACCTGTGAACCCCTGTTAACCTCTATGGCTTGAGAAGCTGGCATGTTCTCCCATCTGCGCTGAGACATTTCTTCAGACAGCCTCCTGAAGAACTACATGGCAATGATTTCCAAAGGAGAACAATTACAAAAATGCATTGAAACTAAAATTCCAATACTTTGGGTAAGTTATAAATAGATAAAGCTGTTCCCATAAAACTTAAACTTGGTTAATAATATGAAATTTAGTGCATTGCTCATCATTGAAAGAATCTAAAAGTGCTGCAGTCCACATTGGCACGAAGCCAATGAAAAATGCAACAACAACAGTAATAATCTTGGAATTCCATTATCTCCCCTTAAAAGAGTTTAAGAGTTTTAACAATGATAAAAATTCTTCAGATGTTACTTTTATACGACAGCCATTTAGAAAGCATACCTACCTCGATCTGACCATGTTCTTTGAAAGAAAGCTTGATATATGAGTATTTACTACTCTGGAAAGGACCAGGATCCTTGTTGGAAGGTACTGGATGAAGATGAACTACTATTTTGGCACTAAAGATATAGAAAGAATAGGAGAAATGGGGAAAATATATTTTTTGTTATTAAAGAATAAATTCTTAAAAAGCATTTTTTTTCAATTTTCATTCAGATTACCTTTCATTTAAGATAAGTAAAAAATAAGTGGGTTCCCGTTTCAATTATTTTGTATTTTTAAACATCACAAGATTTCTCAGTTAAAATACTACACTTTGAATATATTTAATGGAAAATTTGGGATAGGTACATAATGCTTGGTCAAAATAAGACACAAATGAACCTCTGAAGGCCAAAAACTACAAACCAAACTTTCCAATTACTGGCTGGCATTGGGCATAAAGTTCCAGCAAGAAAGCTATAAAGTTGATAGGAGACAAATATTTATTAGATTTATATCCTGCCTTGAGTTCTAAAGCTCAAGGTGGCATACTCTTCCCACTTTTCCCTACAACATCCCTGTTCTGAGAGAAAATGACCAAATAGCTGCCAGCACAGAAAGATACAGCAATGGCTAATTTAATACATCTTTATTGCCCTTCATACATTTTTGCTGCTGATATATTACCTTTTTCCTATCCCTGCTGCCTGCTCTTCAATGAAGATAATTTGGGAAAGAGGAACAGCCATACAGCATTCCTGCAATAAGACACAAAGGCTAAAGCAAAGACATATTTGATGGAATACAGTGTGTTCTTCTAATAAATTGTAAATAGTCAACATTGTTCCCACAACAGGTCTATCATCAAGTATACATCAGACTGCATGATATCTGTGTGCAAAAATATCAATCAGTAGTATAAAGCTAATACCCAGTAAAATCTATTATTATTTTTTGGGGGGGGGGGGCTTGGCAATTTTTTTTTTTTTAAGTCACCCATTTGTCAGCCAAAGACCATCTGCAACCACTATCTTCCTATTTTCCTCTATATTGCCTGAGAAATTTGAGAGCCTGGATCCCAACAGATCTGGAAAGCAACACACTGGGAAAAACATACTCTGGCAGATTCTTCCTCTTTCATCTGATCACCCCCTACCTTGTGACTGCAGTCGACAGTTATTCAGCAGTGATGCTGACTTAAATATTTTACTTACAGTCATCGTGCAATCTGTTCTTCAAAGATCCAAAGGTAATCTTAAGAGAACAGTGAGCAGGATATAAATATGGTAAATGTGTAATCACTGTTAATTGCTGTTTTGAGTGCCCTTCAATAATTAAATCACAAAATTCTGAACTTATTGTTGCCTCTACCTGCATCAATGCAGAGTAAGGCCCACTGAACTTATTGGGCTTACAACTGAGTAGTCCTGAATAAGATAGCACTCCAAATTATATGGCAAACATCTAAGGTATGACAAGATAGTTTACCAATTCCACAGTTCTCATGGTGATTAAATTTTTCAGCACTTCAATAGCATAAAAAAAAAGAGAAACATTGGATTTCGGATTTCCAATTATCTATTTACTGAAGAGAACAATGGGCAGTGACATATATATAAATGTAATTCCTATCAAATAACTTTGAAAGAAGGACAGAAGCTTAAATAACAGGGGAGCATTGGCTGGCTGGTCCAGGGAACAGGAGAGAATAATCAAGCTCATGGATCATCTCAGTATGATCCTTGGTGTATGCTGGTCTATTAGGCCCAATTTTTTTTGTCACAATTCTCATTTCGATAGAAATAAAGAACTATAGTCTGGACAACAACAGAATCCTTAAACCTGGTTGATGCTAATAGTTTCTAATAATGGGAAATCTTCTTTGTGGACTTTTCTCTCTTAGATATTCAAGAAACAAACTGAGATTCCTTCACCAGATTCCTTTGGAAGATGGTATTATTATCATTTGACAACTTTAATAAAAATAAACAACAGGCTGTTTTTAAAACTGACTCTTACTAATTGATCTCAGGACTTTTTTGGACACAGCCATTTTAGCATTTTAGACTGAAAGTTCTTGGATAGAATATAAATGATAAAGTTTACAGTAGTTTATTAATATAATTCTCTGAAATGTTCATTGGACTCTCAGTAATAAGGCTGAGCAGGTCAAATAACTAAATAAGTGACTAGGCACATGCATATTTTTGCATTCAAATTCAGTTTGCAATTACATGCAGGTACTTGGAAGAAAGTTTGAAAGAACTCGCTTCCCAGTAAACATACAGAATGGAATCCAAAGTTACGCATGCAGATTCTATTCACTCAGCACAATTTTTCTTATTTGTTAGATTAACATCCTGCATTTCATTCAAGAACCCAAGGTGGCATGCACAGAGCTCCCTCCTCCCATGTTTTCCCACAGCAGCTACCCTTTGTGGTAAGAGAAAGTGACCGGCCCAAACTCATTCAGTGAACTTCTGGAGCCTCTGGTCTCCCCATAATGTGGTTCAACCACATTGACTCTTATTATCTTACTATCCTTTCCCCAGAAGCCCGCCCACATCTCAACATCTGCTGTGGTGGGTTGAGGGACACTCCAGAGCTGATTCTGAGAATGCATAAGAACTGTAAAAAGGGAATTACTCCCCTTCATTCCATAAGCAGAAACCAATTCACAGAAATAAATGACATAAATAAACCACATTATGTCACTGAAATAATGTGGCTTCTCCAAATTTTGTATAGAACTACTGAGCTAGCATCTATGGCAACAGCTGCTCTTACAATATTGATCTATACAATCTTCTTGGGGATAAGGAGATATGGCCTTTTAGAGGCTTTTGCATTATTCTGTCCGTGCGCTAGGAGTGACCAAGACCTAAATCTCCTCCCAGTAGCTTCTGTAGCTACCAAGCAATTGCAGCAGAACCCCCCCAACAGAATCTGATGTAAATCTCCTGCAACTATTGGTCTTCTGGAGAATGGCTGGCCCTTGGCTGGTCTTTCTTTGCTAGAAATGTTTTTTGGTTTTCTGGTCCAGTCCCTGGGGGAAGAACTTGCATCTGCAATAACCCACAGCTATTTTAAGAACTTGTGGAATGGTCCAAATAAATCACAGTCACTATTTCTGAGCTCTCTCTGCTTACGTCATAAATCTCCCTAGAAATGTTCTACATTTTTTTTTTTATCCAACAAACTGAAAAAATATAAAGTTGAGCATAAGGGTTTATTTTGGTCATACAATTATCATATCAAACTTTATCATATATTATAGGAAAATTACATATGCCAGAATAAATCTACTTACATGATTTTTCTGATCTCTCCAGATCAATCTGTGTGTACTAAGGAGTAATACTCCAGTATCAAACTTCAGCTAGAGAAAAAAAAAGTAGATTTTAAGATACTCGGTTCCTTTGCTTCCTGCAAGATGCTATCTTTGTAGAATCATACTATGATGTGTTAGACAAATATTTTGTGAACACCTTGTATTCAGTTAGTAAAATCTACAAAATTAGACTGCAGAAAGGGAGAAGCAATTACACTGCTTCTAATTTAATGGCGCGCATCCATTTCCCAAGGAAAAACAATAAAGTGCAAGGTGAAGACTTGCAAAAGAACAGTCAAAAGAAAATGGCATAAAAGAATTCAAGATTTAAAGATCTATCAACAAAAGGTAGCTGAGGCTATGTGTTTTGAAGTACACTTATGCAAGAGAAAATATTTGTCTGCAACTAAAGGTAGGCCATTTTAAACAATGCTGTATGTTTTCATCAATGTATCTTATTAACTAGATCTATCTATCTATCTATCTATCTATCTATCTATCTATCTATCTATCTATCTATCTATCAGACCCCTCAGTCAAAAATATAAGAATTCACGCATTGTACTAGCCTGTCGTATGATTATTTTTTTGCTTAGGATGAACCCAACCACTGTGCCTTATTAATATATCATATATGGTCCCAGTTTTAGAGTTCTTTAACTGGATGGTCCTAGCAGGATCATTCAAAACCACTGTACAACTTTCCCTCCTTCAAGGAACTCTTACAATAGGACAAAGAAAGAAAAGGACTTGAAAAATACAAGTGGCTAGAGTGGAAGTCCATGACACCTGTGCTCCAATGAAATTCCATGAAGTAGGCCAAGCATTTATACAGTGAAAGCTTAATCTGAAAATACATGAAACTCTTCTAAGGATGCCCATCACCAAGGCACTATAGACATGTACAAAAAAGAAGCCTTATACCCTTATTCATTCCCTAAGCAATATTTCATCAACCCTACCAACACATTTTACTTTCTTTTTCCGACATGGTCACCCTTTACACTAATGTAAAAAGTTAAGCAGCAGATTTGAGGATACTATTACTGGACTGATTCACATATTATACTAAGCAATGTTCTGTGTATGTGTTCATAGACCATGGTTTACAAAATTGGGCTCGCACAAGCCAAATCAAAGGAGGGAATATTTCTTTTAAAACAGGGAGTGCTGTAATACCCGTATCATCCAAAAACAAGGTTGTATGCCTCTTCTTTCAAAACTATTGATTCTACCCGTGGAAAATGTAAGCTGAGTACAGTATTTAAAACAACTACTTCCTAATGAATGTCTCTCAATGCTAGCAATTTTTATCTTTAGGGATTTGGATTTTTTCCCCTTTTTGCTAGTAAACAGTGAAGGAACCTATGGAAAACACAGGAGGGATTACAAATACAGTAGAAGACAACAGCAACTGCCCTGTAGGAAAGATCTTGAGGGCCTTTTACATTCCAGTATTTTAACACTGTACTTTTATCATTGTGTTTTCATTGTATTTGTAAACTATTTTAGATAAACGTGTATCCATAACTGGTGGACTATAACACTGAAGAAACAACTTCACACACGGCCTAAAAGACAACACACAAGCACACAGATGCACCAAATTCCTAACACATTAGGCATGTGAAGAGTCTTCCTTAGAGGTTGCACGTATATGTACTGGGATTAGTGACATTACCAATGGCCCCGTGCAAAAGGGCATGCAGAAATCGATCCGAATATAAATGCCGCCTTGAATAATGAATAAAGAAGGCAAAGCTAATCAAACGACAGGAGGACATCCGAGGATCCCGATCTACCAGACGTGTAAGCGACAGGCAAGATTTGCTGGGGCCTGGAATCCGGGATGGAAACGGATTCTTGCTACGCGACTCCCTGACCCCCAGCAGCGCATCCGCGGGTTTCGCCCGCAGAAGAACCGCCTGGGGGCCCCTCAATCCCCATTCCCCGCTTCGCCGGCTGCCTTTAGGAGAGACCCGGGCCCCTCCGCCCTCCCTGCCCACGCAGCCGGCCTCCCTCCCCCCCGCCGCCAGTTCCCCCCGCCCCCCCCCCCCTCCTCTCC